GAGTGTAGTGTGGCAGGTTACACACAGGGGTGTAGTGTGGCAGAGTAACACACAGAGGGTGTAGTGTGGCAGGGTACACACAGAGGGTGTAGTGTGGCAGGTTACACACAGGGGTGTAGTGTGGCAGGTTACACACAGGAGTGTAGTGTGGCAGGTTACACACAGGGGTGTAGTGTGGCAGGTAACACACAGGGGTGTAGTGTGGCAGGGGTACACACAGAGGTGTAGTGTGGCAGGTTACACACAGGGGTGTAGTGTGGCAGGTTACACACAGGGGTGTAGTGTGGCAGGTTACACAGGTGTAGTGTGGCAGGTTACACACAGAGGTGTAGTGTGGCAGGTTACACACAGGTGTAGTGTGGCAGGCTCCACACAAGGGTGGTGTGGTAGGTTACACAGTGGTGTTGTGTGGCAGGCTCCACTCTAGGGTGTAGTGTGGTAGGCTCCACACTGGGGTGTAGTGTGGTTGGCTCCACACGGGTGTAGTGTGACAGGCTCCACACAGGGGTGTAGTGTGGTAGTACCCCACAAGAGAAGCCCTCACCATGTTATTGATCACACACTGGCTGACTTACACTTGGGTAGTGGCCAGTTTGCCCGGGGATTTATTTCTCAACGTGTGGTATAGTGAGACAGCCGGTTTACCAGGGAACAACAGCATAAGTCAATACGGGATATCAAGTACACTACCAAGTACATCAATCCCTGCATATTGCCACTATCATCATAATGACTTTATATCAATACAAGTGAAGATATTGATTTGATATACACTACATAGGCAGTAATTCTCAGGTGGAGTCCGTATCAACAGATATACCAGAAGCATAAGTACAGGTGTAGGTAAAAAATACAAATATGCGTGTGTCACAAATTTATAAAGTTGGTATCCGTGCTACTGTGTCATACAAACGTACCTAAAACGCACTCAGCCTCGCTAGGCACAGTGCACAGTGATGGTAGTAACTGGTGAGGTGTAGTGGGTCAGTATCTCAAGATAGGGCGGGGTGGCCACTTGCTGCCTTGAACTGAGCTACGCGTATTTCCTTCCCTCTTCTTGGTCTTCTGGATATTATATCTCTACTGATTCTCCTCATGTTTACTCTCCTTCACTTAATTCATTTTTTTCCTCCTACCGAATGTATTTTCCCCCTTTTTTTTCTCTCGAAAACTGTCTTGCTTCTCTTTCTCTTCTCCCTCCCTCCCTCCCTCTTTCTATCACTTACTTCTCCTTCCCTCCCTTTCACTTTCTTACCACACACCGTACCCACTAATACACATTAATCCATATCCAGTACGCTGCCACCCCATCACGCATCTCTGCATTACCTGCTGCTGCATCACGCGTCAGACACGAACCTTTGCAGACCCGTGACCTGATATATATCATTTCTTTAAACTTCCTGTCAGCCATTTAGAGAGGCGAAGTTCGTGAGTGTTCATTAATCGTATGACTGTGGATGTGTTGTTCTGGTGTACAGTGTGTGTCTGTCTATCTGTCTGTCTGTCTGTCTGTCTGTCTGTCTGTCTGTGTGTGTGTGTGTGTGTGTGTGTGTGTGTGTGTGTGTGTGTGTGTGTGTGTGTGTGTGTGTGTGTCATCCATGTTGATTGTTTCTTGGTCTAGTGAGAAGAATGTGATTCTCTGATGGTCTAATAAGAAGAATGGAACTTATTTAGAAGGAGAAAATAAAATGAACTAGTGCAGAAAGTTGCTCTGTAATTCAGCCGACCTGACACATGCCACTGTTTTTTTATTTATTTATTTATTTTTATTATTTATTTTATTTAATTATTTATTTTTATTATTTATTTTATTTATTTATTTATTTATTTTATTTTTTTGCATATGAGTGCTAACCAGTGTGGATACGGAAGAGCCCTCTTGTCACGAATTAGTGTTGTGTCAATAGATCAGAATTCTGTCTTTTTCACTTATGCTCAGGTTAAAGAATAATTATATGCCTTGACCTTGAGTGATATAGTACGGCTGGAATGAACCTAATTAATATCTTAAGACTGACATTTAGTAATAATTTTAATGAAATGGTAATTAATGCCTGTAAGGATTCGGTGAGCATTCATAGTAAGTCAGTCTTCATGAGGAAGTACATTTGGCATGCTAATTTATGGGTAAAATCTGGGAAAGAGAACCATTGCTTTTAGCCAAACCAAATACTGTATGACCTAATGTAATTAAGTTAAGTTCTTGCTTTTGTGTGACTTTTTTTTTTAGATGTCATTAATTAAGGTTAGAAGAGGAAAGGGGAAAACTGTGGAAGTTTATGAATTAGAGAGGGAGACTGGCGTGCTGTGACCATGCTACCAAATAAGCTTACTGAGTTAGTTGTATGTAAATGTATAAGAGTACTGGGTTTACTGTTTACCCCGCGCCGTGTTTACTGTTTACCCCGCGCCGTGTTTACTGTTTACCCCGCGCCGTGTTTACTGTTTACCCCGCGCCGTGTTTACTGTTTACCCTGCGCCGCTGTTTACCCTGCGCCGTGTTTACTGTTTACCCGCGCCGTGTTTATGTTTACTGTTTACCGCGCCGTGTTTACTGTTTACCCTGTTTATGTTTACCCTGCGCCGTGTTTACTGTTTACCCTGTACCATGTTTATAGTTTACCCGCGCCGTGTTTACTGTTTACCCTGTACCATGTTTACTGTTTACGCGCTGTGTTTACTGTTTACCCTGTACCATGTTTACTGTTTACCCCGCGCTGTGTTTACTGTTTACCCTGTACCATGTTTACTGTTTACCCCGTGCCATGTTTACTGTTTACCCTGTACCATGTTTACTGTTTACCCCGTGCCGTGTTTACTGGTTACCCTGTACCATGTTTACTGTTTACCCCGTACCGTGTTTACTGTTTACCCTGTACCATGTTTACTGTTTACCCCGTGCCGTGTTTACTGTTTACCCCGTGCCGTGTTTACTGTTTACCCCGTGCCGTGTTTACTGTTTACCCTGTACCATGTTTACTGTTTACCCCGTGCCGTGTTTACTGTTTACCCCGTGCCGTGTTTACTGTTTACCCTGTACCATGTTTACTGAGTTTGAGGGAAGGGTGTACTGTGCATAGGTTTATTTCCCCATCCAACCATGACCCTAAGATATGAGAGATACCTTGAGGCATTTTTACGTCTGTTACTGAAAAGACCAACGGCATCGCGAGGCATAAATTACAAGTGATATACCGCAGTTGAGCGAATTATTCTTGTGGTAACAGAGGCATAAAATACACGTTGATTTAAGGGGGCAATAAATCCTGGTGACATTAGGAAGGCATATAATAAATAACATTGTAGTTCATGAAATGTTATTTCAAAGTGAGGCATTTGTGTTGGTGACGGCGGCCATTGAGTACTTTTATTATTGATTGACTTAAATTGAATAAGGTATAATAGAGGATAAATTTCGTTTGATATACTTATTAAATAAAAAGTGTTGGTTATAATATTTCGAGTAGATAGACAGGCATACAGGATCCTCCGTGTAGTGATAAAAGGTTAATGTCACCTTCCCCCCCCCCCAGGCCGTCACCCCTTTTAGACCCGTCAACCCCCCCCCAGACCTTCACTCCCTATGACGTCATCGTCGACCGTCACTTCCCCGTCACCTCTCACTCACAGCCCTGACAGTCACCCCTAGACACTCATCCCCTGACCGTCATCTCCCCAGACTGTTACCCCCAAACCGTCAATCCCCCGACCGTAACAGTCTTCATGGAACTACACATCAAATACTAAGGGGAATAACAGTCTTGTCAGGTTTTGGCTCTGTCAGTGCATTTGATGGGGAGGGTTAAGTTGGGAGGATGGAGGGAGCCGAGGACATTAATATTCGCGTAAACCATATTCAATTCTTTACTTAACCTTGTCATGCCGAGCTTATTGTAAACTTAACCTTGTCATGTCTAGCCTATTGTGAGCTTAACCTTGTCATGCCTGGCTTATTGCGAACTTAACCGTGTCATGTCTAGCCTATTGTGAACTTAACCTTGTCATGCATAGTCTATTGTGAACTTAACCTTGTCATGCTTAGTCTATTGTAAACTTAGCCGAGCCTCTAGTCTACTGGGAACTTAGCATACTGTATGTAGCTCCTGTATGACTCAAGAGGGTAGTAGAAAGGTACAGACTGAAACGTGTTTGTAAGAAGTGATTATTCGTGTTAAACAATTCTCTTCAAACCTTAAACTTGCAATCATTGAACAGTTAAAGTTGCGATCTGTGTTTTAAGGTTTGATGAGTAGTGCTAAAATCCGACACTCTTGCCGCTCATTTTAACCGACGTTCTATGACAACACTGTGACGCTTCCACCCAAAACCATAAGTGAAAAACAAAGGAAATTAAAGTGATCTCGGGGAAATGTACTGATAAACATTTAAACTGTAACATATATTTCTATGTTGTGAATTGAGTGTCATTTAGCTATTTTGTGAATATTTCTCATTACGTCTTGTCAACTCAGTCTCTTGAATCTGTTGTGATATGTTTAGCATTTATAAAGTTTTATTTGCTCACATTTAACTCTTTCTCTCCAATATCTTTACCCCATTTGTTTGTACTGTGTGATTGTATGTAAGGTCTAATGTGAGTTTTGTGGATTTTAGTCTCAAAATCGTGACCTTATTACATTGTAATCCGAGAAACAATAGTATATATATCTATCAGAAATAATTCTAATTTTATTATTTGTAGTTCGTCTCCGGTAATATACAGTACTGTATAAGATAGCCAAAGAAACGCGTGTTTGATTTCTGACTAAATTTTGACACCAGAGCACACAACAGTTGTAGCGTTAATGGTGTCTCAACCTCGTGACGTGGGGTGGGGATAGTAATAGATTAAACTATTTGGATGAGGAAAAGATCATGTTATGAACGTTTACTTATGTTGGAAAAATGACTGTTTCTGGATTGATGTGGTTTTCAATAATAGCTGTTTGTGTTTCCCATGTGAAGATAGTAAAAGAGGTGTTGTTTCCCACCCGCAGGAGTCTGACAATCTGTGGTGGGACGCCTTCGCCACCGAGTTCTTCGAGGACGATGCCACTCTCACCCTAACCTTCTGCCTTGAGGACGGGCCCAAAAGATATAGTAAGTACCCTACACTTCTTCCCTTGTAACACAAAATCCTACCGTAGCTAACATGTATAGATTATGAATTTTAAAGAAGACTGTCCAAACTTAACCTACTGTAGGTCCGCGACAAGACCCATTGTTAGACTCGGATGACATCCTTATCAAGGTGAAAAACAAAAATTGTGAAAAGTGTATATTTTTTTTATTGTGAAGTGGAAGATTTTTATTTCTATTTTAAATTATATTTCGTTTTTTGTGTGAGTAATAATTATATTCTTGGTGAACTTACTTTTTTTAAGACTAATTTTGTCTTCAATTTTACTCACAAGTGTAATGTATGAACAACATCCTTATGATCTGAAGGCAGTAACTACACCAGTTCACATATACTAGTCTACTTTAATGCGCTTTGAGGCTCGTTCACCCACATTTTCATTATCTCAAATCTTTTTCCTGTCAGTTTGACCACATGATTACCCAATACCAGAGTGAGAGAGAGAGTCCTAAAACAGAGCAGTATCGTGCTAATTTTGAGCCTCTGGCGTATCCCTTTATCCGTGTACGTAACATGTATTCGCAAGGTTGGTGTTACCTCACTCGTACACTTGTTGGGATTATAGAAATGACAAACAAAAATTTACCATTATTTTTTCCAAGTTACACCGTCGCTAACGAGTTAGACAACTTACAGTTATAGGTCACTTATCCCTATGAATATTTCTTAACCAATCAACACACGTTTAATGCTGCCGTCGACGTAATGGATGATGTATATATTTACCATCATACATACGCATGACTCAGTTTTTACTGGCATAGGTATTCAGGTCTACATTATTAAGTGACGGGTCATTAATCTTCTCTCTGGTTATGTGTACTGAGCTCTCGGAAGTGCTGTGAGAATTATATTGGGCGTTTTAATTTAGTGCGGCATTGATCTAGGCCAGCTACCTGGGCTAGGCTTTTAGCCAAGCCTAGTGTCATACTAACTGCAACTAGCCAGCCATTCACTTACTCATCGGTGTTTAATCTACGAAGTTCTTTTGCCGATTCGAGTGTTCATTGATCCGAAAATCATTGGAAATAGCTATCACAAGGTTCTTTGTTCTGAAGGGAAGGGTGCGATACGCTACAACAAATTTCATTAGGTTACGTTATGGTAGGTTAGACGGGGGTCATATATTGTTTGGGTAGGATATTTTACTCGTCGGTAGATTAATGTTGGACTTGTTAAATAATGCTTTCTATCGCTAGAATAGATTTAGTTAAGTTGGGTTTGAGCAAGATAGCGAAGGATACATTAGGTTTGGTGACTCTTACCAATGATCCTTGAGAACAGTGAACCTTGGGAGTTAGGACTAGCATGACTTACATACATGCATCTCATCATACAGGAAATAATTACGTAACCTCATTTTTTCTTTACGCACACAGTGTTTTAATAAAAAAAATTGATCTGGTATTAGGAACAAGTCCTATACGAATAGTACTTAGGTTCTTAAGATTACCTAATATAGTACCAATTGAGCAGTGACCCAAGGTGGCCTAGATCTCATCCCAATTTGGATAAAAGCTGCTTGTACAGGTGTATTAATGACGATAACTAAATCTAAACTCTGTGGATTTTAATCAGTCTTAGTATGGTATGTCGGTATATCACTACAATACGTCAGACTTTTTCATTAATTATCAACTACTGAATGTTACAGTTGTTTGGACTGATTTGTTGCGTGGTGCAGGAGTTAGTAACCTTTTTTACGTGTACGGTACAATCATTTTTCAAAATTATTTTTTATAAAAGCAAGGGTAATTATTATCAGTATCAACTTTTGTATTGTTATTAAACTATGATTAAACCACCATTACCAAGTACAGTAGTTCGTTCAGGCGATTTAGTCTTGAAAATGCGCATTCAATTAATTATTAAGCAGTTTTACTTCTCATAGTTTTGTGGGAGGGAAGTCGAGTGTGTTAGAGGTATTTAGTGAAGCATTAGTATCACTGTAACAATAATGATGATGGTAATTTGTTTCAACTTACAGGCAAAAGACTCCTCTCTGATCAAATTACAGTTATTAAGATGAATAAAAAACATTAAATAATGGAGCAGAATATGCTATAAAGATAACATTAAAAATGAAATCGTCTAAAAATGTTTACATCACATTGGATACAATAGTAGTGGCAAATGCAAGAGTGAGGAGAAATACAGAAAGTGAGAGTTTAAGATTACAGGCACGTGAAAAGAAAATGGAAAAAATTTAAACTTCATGATTTAGTTCAAATATCCTTTATGCAGCTTATGGTTTACATGTACTGTACTGTGCTGTACTATACTACATACGCCCCTTGTCTTGGATATAACAAGTTTAAAATTGCAAATGAATCTTGATAAATTGTTGAATTACATTTTCTTTTACACCATTAATAATTGTATCGGTTTACTTCAGTAACTAAATATTCCTCTTTTGTGCTTTTCTTACAGCAATTGGAAGGACCCTCATTCCACGATACTTTAGAAGCATATTTGAAGGTGGTGTTACGGAGCTATATTATTCCCTCAAACACCCTAAAGAGTCGTTCCATAACACCTCCATCACCCTCGACTGTGACCAGTGCACAATGGTTACTCATCATGGGAAACCTATGTACACAAAGGTGAGAAATGTACTCCATTTTGTTCAACTGGTCTACAGGTGTATAAATTATAAGAACTGCCTTATCCCATATTACTTTATCCACATATACCGTGATGAGATATTAGTAATAAAGTGTATCAGGGGAAACATCAATAGTAATGTGTATCAGTGGAAACATCAGTAGTAAAGTGTATCAGTGGAAGCATCAGTAGTAAAGTGTATCAGTGGAAGCATCAATAGTAATGTGTATCAGGTGAGATATCAATAGTAAAGTGTATCAGGGGAAAGATAAAAGATTGGACAGGAGATGAAATGGTTTTGTAGGAATATGACTAATTTAACCTATTTTAATCCAACCCAACTCTATTGTATGTAATATAACCTAGCTAATCTAAATTATGTTAGGTGAGGATGAATTTGGTTATTTTGCCTAGTTCATTTAATGGGCTCCTAATCTAGCCAAGGTTAAGTTAGGCTAGGCAAAGTCTTGGTTATGTTCGGTTGGGTCGGGTTAGGTTAGTTTAGTTTATGTATGTATGACTACAGTAGATTCATTGATCAGTACAGTATGGGGTACATGCAATACATTTGCAGTATTTACCCATAAATTGCTTCATAATGGAAGTACAGTATGTATAAAACAGTGCACTTCTCTTTATGTCTACAAATGTAGGTTTAATTAATATCATTCATGATTGATCTTTATATAAGTTTTGTAATTTGGCTTTTATTTGATCATCTAAACATGCTACACTTTTTATTAGAAAAGTAACTTGACCATTTCCTTTCTAACTGTTATTTGATATATGTATTCTCTTGCCACTACAGGTCTGCACCGATGGTAGACTTATTTTAGAGTTCACATTTGATGACCTGATGCGAATCAAGTCATGGCATTTTGCCGTCCGTGCCCACCGTGAGCTCATCCCTCGGTCTGTGGTGGCCATGCACTCGCAACAGGACCCGGGTATGGTTGAAACATTAAGCAAAAACATCACGCGGCAGGGCATCACTAACCACACCCTAAACTACCTCAGGGTAAGCAACCAAGTATACAGTATTTTTTTTATTCTATTGGTCCAGTTCAGACTTATGTTACAACACTAAATGACTGCAGGATTAGTACCCAAGATTAATACTGTACTGTACTTGGATATTTCCAGAGTGAGTTACAGTACAGTATTGATATTGTATATTATACTGTATATAGTTTTATACTGTAGATAATACATTAAAAAAAAACTCAGAATTTTATTCAAAAGTTTGGAGATAGATGCAGTGTTTGTACAGTACAGTAAATGTAGCTTTACCAATTTCCATTCCTAAGTTCTCTACTCACAGGATACTGTAAAGTGTAGAGCATTATACTACATTGATAACAGAAACATTTATACAGTACAGTACTGTACAACTTTTTTTTATTTGTACTGTATTAAGTAGGCTTTTCCTGTAGTACCTTGGGGTGGCTCTCGTGGATTCTCCTCCACATACTGTACCATGAACTGTAAACATTTCATGTATACTACAGTATTTCATCAAGACACTTGCATTTCCAACTCTTGTATGACATTGGTTAAACTGTCTTGTTTCATTCATGTACAGTAATGACATTCTTGTGTATTTCTTGAATCTTTATTTTAAAATTATAAAAAAAATTATTTATTTTTTTGACAGTTATGTGTGATTTTGGAGCCCATGCAGGAGCTCATGTCACGCCACAAAGCTTATGCTCTCTCTCCCAGAGATTGTCTTAAGACTACACTATTCCAAAAGTGGCAAAGAATGGTTGCACCACCAGGTAAGTTGCTTGTTCTTCTCTTGGTATTAGAAGAATATGAATTGAATTGACTCCAAAAACATATGTTTTGATGTTCAATTCAGCATTCAAACTACAATTGTAGGAGCACGTGTGATTAGTGGGAAAGAGGCTTGACAATTTAGCTCATATGAGTTTTCAATAAAATGAAATAGACTTGCAGCAGCTTATCATTCTCAAGCTTAAAGCCTAAAAGCAAAGCAAGGGTTCACACCCACAAATAGTGTTCAGATCACAGATCTCATAAGTATCGTATCATAGACAAATATAAAATGGTTCATCATCTACAACGGTAGGTCACAGTTCATAAGCACCGTGCCTCACACTATTGCACACTGGTACATTAACTCTGGTTCTAGTCTGTAACTGTAAATTTAAAAGCTGTTGTGTATGGTGTGCATTTTTCAAGGTTTCAATTAGATGGAATTGACTTCCATTCATAGAAACTTGAGTCATTTATGACAAAAGAACAAGTTGAAAATGAATGTCTTTGAAAGGTGGCAGATAATGTATTTTTTTTGTCGATCCGTTTAACATAGCTGGTCAAACTACTCCAAAAATACCTTGCTGTTAATGTGTGTTGAAGCAGATATTTGCTGGATTTTAAATCTTGAATTATTAAGTTGACCTCTCATAAAGACAGAATTATCATAAAGGTGGTAAGTACAGTACCTGTTAACAGCTTATGGTGATCTATTATACTCTGTACAGTAATTGGATTTACAAAAATTGGATGTACAGTATAAGAATTAATGTGAAAGTATATTGAACAGATTTTGTAAAAAAAAAAGTCATCTTTAACAGTGCATGTGACTATGAACCTGTTAGTCTCAATCACAAGAATTTTATTAAGATTTTCGTTGAAAAATACAGGGATTAGTTTAAAAACAATTAAAGTACTGATTTTACTAAAATTTTGGGGACATGTTCAGCCATCCACCCTTGTAGAGGTTGTGAACTGCTACTAAGTTAAATTTGCTTGAATGTGTTACTTTCCTGAGTTTGTCATTGTGATTAACTTATGCTTAAAGTGTACATAAACAAGTCAAGTAATATAATGAATTCTGAATACAGTACTGTACTGTATAGGAACACCTTAGGCCACAGTTTACCAGATATGAGTGAAGGAGTAATTTTGTCATTAAAATGTTTATTAATAAATTATTGTACAAAATTTTAATCTTGTTACTGTATAATTTTTTTCATAAGAGTAATATTTGTGGTTGTTGGGGTTAGGCCTTTCAGAAACAGTCCTCCATATAACCTTGAAGTTGTAAGAGACATACAGTACTGTATAAAAGAGTGGAGTGTAAAAGTGGTGAGAGTCTTGTGCATCCTGTTCCACATCTGTTGTGAGCTTAGGAATGCAATAAATTGTTCCACCTCTTGAAACTGGGAATGTAGACAAGTCAAGCTGAATTCTGGATTGGAATTTCAGAACTGAAGGATCTTCCGGTAGTACTAATTAGTGTAGACACAAATAGCCATAAATAGTATACTGTATGTACATAACTGAAGTTTTAAAAACATTTACAGTATTTAAAAAAAAATAGTTTTTTAAAATCCATTCACAATAATTTTGTAAATACAAGACTGGAGAAATGCTTGAAATTAAGCTACCAGGTAACTCTTGGAGTGAGAAAAATTAATACTGTACAATATTTATGTACAGTACAGGTATATTATTTTAAATTCTTTATCTGCTATCTCATGTTTGATGATGCTCATAAGGTATAATATACTGTACAGTATATTCATAGTAGTAGTGCTTCAGGGCAGAATCTCTTATTAAGAAGTGTTCATAAAGAAATCAGAGGGAAATAGATATAAATGAGTGCTTTAAGCCATTTGTCAGATAAGAGCCTATGGAATTGTTTTTACAGTATTGTATAATTTTATTTACACAAGCAGAAACAGCATCACATGATCTCTCTAGTACAGTACAGTACAGTATACTGTATAATGGATTGGCCTTTGTGTTTGATGAGTTTTTACTTATTGTTTTTTTTTCATGTAGTATGATAGTTTGACCTTGAGAGTCTGTGTTATGATTCCCATTTATTTTGATGTTTTTCCCATTATTGATTACAGTACTGCATGATGAATATTTTATGCTGAGGCTGTAACTAGTGTAATGGTTTTGTTTTGTTCATTGCTCTGCAATTTTATTTAATTTGCTATTAACCCCTAATGCAGCCTGGCTTTTGCAATCAAAGAGGCAGCATTATGTAAATACATATTTAACAACTAATTTAATTTTTTCATAAAGCTACTCTGATAACCTCTTTGGCCAGCCCCTCAAATACCCATCAGCTGTTTTATGTTCACTCTTGCATCACTTGTTTGTGGTTTAGCTCAAAGAACCTTAGGATTGTCTTAATGTCTCTTTCAATCCATGTACCCAAAATTTTAGATTTGTTTTCTTTTTCACTCAAAATTATATATGGTTTAACTCCTGTATCTTAGCATTGTTATCTTATTACACATAAAAGTGCACAGTAGCCTCTTAAGTGGACTATTTGAACTAAGCCACAGAGTGATGTTAACCTTGTGTTGTTGTTAATGTTGATGTGATCAGCCGTGTTTTGTTTGTCATAGGTGCAGCTAATCAAGCAAATGGTAAAAATGGTGCCGATGGAGGTATGTGGTGGACTCACTTTAACACCCGTTGATTGTAATGTTGACCACAACTAACCACTTAGTTGCCAGCGCCCTCTGCCACGCCTCACTCACTATTGCTACTAACACGCGTGGCCGCTCATAAAACTTGACTTGCACACTTACAAAATAGCACTCACTTCTACACATTACTACATGTTACTAGACTACTGCCACAGAGTGACTTCATTTGCATGTGTGATTTTATAATATTGTACCTGGTATAGTACAGTTTACTATATATATATATATATATATATATATATATATATATATATATATATATATATATATATATATATATATATATATATATATATATATATATATATATATATATATATATATATATACTGTACAGTATTACCTCAATGTATATTTAGAACTACAGTACAGTATTATTATTTACTTCACTTGTGGAGTTTCAAAGCTACATCTACCATAGCACTACACAAAAGTTGTACAGTAATTTAATCTTAACAGTTGATTAAAAAATTAATGTCATTCACACTTACAGAATGTTTTATTGGAGATAGAAAGTTGTAACAAGAACATTCAATTTGTGGGTTATTTTGTCAGTCACACACTTCATAAAAAAATTTATCTTTGTTCCTTTGGATATTTTCTGCAACACAGTAATGCATTTTGAGCTTCACAGTACTTGTACAGTACAGTACAAGACATTCTAATGTGACTTAAATTTGTTTCATGTAAAACTGTGATTTTTTTAAGATGCATATTTTCACAAGTATGTACAGTATTTTTTTGAGTTGTTGTACTGAAACATAATCCTTTAAGTGATATCCTGTTATGTACACAATACAGTACATTAAGTAGTACAAATTTTATGCAAAAGTTTTCAATAATTTTGTAAAAATAACTTGTTTTGCTAAGTCATTTAAATATTAAGTCATCTTTTAATTTTGGGCGGAACCTTTCAATAGAAAACAAAGTGAAATGTGAAATATTTTTTTTTACCCTAATATGGAAAAATCTGTAGTAATTTATTACAAGTCTGCATTACCTTATTTGTTGATAAGAGAATATTCAGGACAAATAAGATCAAATTTTGAAAATTATATTTCAGAATTTTAACACCAAATTCATAAGCCAGACAAAATCACATTCAAAATTATATCATGCAAAATATTCTGTGGTAAGTAGTTGGTAGCTTGGCATGAACAGGGTTCAGATGACCTCCAAACACAACTATGGTGATGGGTAAAGCACTGTTGCATCTTTTACCTCAGAAATCTCAGCCAATATGTACCCCAGTACACTCCACTAATATTCACTTGTGCTGAAAGTGTTTTTCTTTTTTCTTTTACTGGTTATTTTTCTTTTAAGTCTTAAAGCCACAGAACAACTTGAATAAGCTAAAGATAATACAGTACCTGCATTAGTTTATTATATCACAAGGAGATGGTTCATACCTATCTACCTTTACTGCTGCATTACTAGCCAACAATTTTAGTTTCAGACACTGAAATTTTCTTGCCAGAATTTTTGTGACTGTTGGAAAATAATATTGTTAGCCTAATATGCATTTATAAGTTGATTTTTTTTTTTTTTTTATTAATTTTGTAATTTAGTTGCATCACAGTACAGGTATACATTTTCACATGTTTTCAAAATAAGCTTTGACAGAGTGATCAACAGAGGTGCCTTTTTAGTAGTTTACACTTGTTTTGATCTCTTAATTGTGGAATATTAACCTCGTGGTTCCTGTCCAAGGTTTAAATTTCCAGTAAACTTTTTAATTTTCGTGCTTTTTACGCCCAGGCAAAAAAAAAACCTGGCATCAGTCAAACTAACAAAATAATAGCTTTCAGTGTACAGTATATTTATTTTTATTTGATACAATACAGTGGTCCCTTGGTTAACGAACACAATTCGTTTCACAGAGTTGTTCGTTAACCGAATCCATTGTTTCAATGGGATATTGGGTAATTGGTTCCAGCTCACAGAAAAGTACATACAAAGTTAAAAAAAAAAGCAGTAAAGTACATTTACTTTGAGGTGTGTATGTAGAAGGTTCCTGGTTGATGATGATGGGAATTAGAAGTGGAGGAGAAGGGAGAAGAGAAGGAAGTGGGGATGGAGGAGAAATCACCTTTCAGGGGACCCATGCTTGATGCAGTAATTTCACCAATAAAATTTTAAGTTCACGAGGTGTAATTCAAGATTATTTTATTTAAATCAACACTGCACTGCACTATATGTTATCAATATGTTAACTAAATTTCAGAATTACCAATAATTTTAATGTAAAAATGCAAAAAATATTCAAGACACCAACAAAATTGATGTTCACTCCACTGTAAACAAAGCCAAACTGACGCCTGGTGGGTGAGTCAAGCAGCTGATGGGCGCACAAAAAACTAGTTCCCTGTACTGCATATATTATCAATATGTTAACTAAATTTTAAAATGACTAATAATTTTAATATAAAAAATGCAAAAATATTAAAGAGCACAACTTTCTTGATATTTACTCCACTAGAAACGAATGTAAACATGGAACAGATTACTGAATTGGCAGACAGGCCCATCAGCTGATCAGCTGATGCTCACAACAAAACGTGGTTGTCGTAAGGATTTCATTAATCGAAGTTTTGTTCGTTAACTGAATTGAAGATCCTTATGGGAGGTAATTCGTTAATCGAACCGTTCGTTAGCCGAGGGACCACTGTAGTACAATAATAATAATTTTTTATGATATACTGGTATGATAAAAAAATGAAGTAAGATTTTCATTCAGTTATATACAGATATATTGAATACTCATATATAAGCATCATACACCTGTATATACAATATAAATGTAAGATTAAGTGATATTGTATGCAATATATATATATATATATATATATATATATATATATATATATATATATATATATATATATATATATATATATATATATATATATATATATATATATATATATATATATATATATATATACATACATGTTGTACCTCTCTAGTCCGGCAACCTCGGGACCTGACCGGTGCCGGCCCATGGAAATTCACCCTTTTCCTGGATAGATAGTGACTTGTGCTTATGCTTGGAAGCACTAGCACCACTTACTCTGCATCATGGTCTCTTTGAAGACATATTGAAGGGTTAAATGTCGTATAGTAGCTTCTCAAATTTCACGAGTTTTTAATTCTTAACGTATTTTATTGGAACACAAAAAAAATGAATAAATAAAAATTTTGGCGGCGGAAACTTGAATTTCGACGGGTTTGAACTGCCTGCCAACGTGCAGACGACGTGCATAACCGTGTAAACAGCGTCATTTCTCTTATGTACAAAAGATTCATTATTGTTTATTACTGAATGTCTTTTTATTGAATTAATGTTTATGTGTGCAAAATGAGTAATACAATTCATTAGTAATATGTAGAATATTAAAACACACAAGGAAATGACACAGCATTGTTTTCGTTGATTACAAAACCAGTGACTGACTGGTTCTACATATAAAACTGAAGAAAATAAAACCTTGGTTGTAGCTGTAGTAAAACTAATATGGTTGTTTTAAGCAATGTTATTTAATGTTTATAAATGGAACAATAGAAGTAGCTAACGATAATGGTAAAGAAAAAAGAGATCGCGTATGTAAGTGCGCATGTGCACACGTGAAAACATATCGTCAATTCAATTTTAATTCAATTTCAATTGTTTATTCCTTGATAGAGGAAGTGGGATCCTAGTGCTGTTACTAGGTACCCCTGTACAATGACACCAGAAGCATCTGGCAAGTGTGACAAGTATATACAGTATATGAATATTATAAAGGGGCTTACTGAAGCCTAAGGAAGGAAGGATATTCCTTTAACACATAATCAATATTATTTACAAAATATCTGGCCAGTATGGGGAGGATCATCGTGTCTCCGTCAGGGGGTCATGGAGTGGTGGTCCATATGGTGGTTCATATATATTTTAATTAATGTTTCTGAATTTGTTTTTATTGAATTAATGTTTGTGTGTGCAAAATTAACAATACAATACGTGGAATATTAGAGGAGAGGAGACGGCTGCCGGCATTGCTTTTGTTAAAGCTTACAAAACCAGTGACTGATTGGTTCTACATATAAAACTGAAGAAAATAAGACCCTGATTTTAGCTGTAGTAAAATTAATGTAAAAAAATTAATATGGTTGTTTGAAGTACCTATAATGTTATTAATGTTAATAAATGGAACAATATAAGTAGCTAACCATTAATGGTAAAAAAAAAAGTGAGACTGCACGTATGTAAGTGCGCACATGTGAAAACATATCGTCATTACTCTACATAAGAATATGAAAGCAACACTTATTTACTGCTCATATATATTGAAGGGTTAAATGTTGTACTCTGTGTAGACAAGCAGAGAGAGAGAGAGAGAGAGAGAGCAGCCAAACTGCCGGATGTAAACAAGCCTTAATTTCCCGCGGCTTTGTTTTTTGTTTTTTTAAGGGGATTAGCCCACCCGGGCATAGGTCACTGACCCTCATTGGGGCCTGAGGAGCAAAAATTTAATACTTCTGTAATAATAATAATAATTCAGATAAGTTTAAAAAAAAACTGCCTATCTACCTATTGGACAAACTAAAATCGTTCCGGACCACAGAATGCCGGACTAGAGAGGTACAACCTGTATATATATATATATATATATATATATATATATATATATATATATATATATATATATATATATATATATATATATATATATATATATATATATATATATATATATATATATATATATATATATATATATATATATATATATATATATATATATATATATATATATATATATATATATATATATATATATATATATATATCATAAAAATAATCCAAGGTGGATATAAACCAAATTGACAAGGAGCCATGTGGGGATTACACACATACAATAAACCACTATCGGTGACAAAGTCCAACTGGGAGTCGCAAATTAGCATGCCTTATCTTAAACATCATTTATTTCTAGTTGATAAAATCTGGGGTTGGTTCATAGGTTTGGAAGTTGGCTTGTTGCTTAAGTTTATACACAGCCTCAGCAAATATGGTCATTTATTTTCAGTTAAGAGACAAGAAAGATTTTTTATTATAATTTATTACAATATGCACTGTAATCAATATACTGTGTAAATGTAAAATGAAAAAAAATATATATTATATAGACCAGTGGTATAGTGAGGGTATCTGGTGCCCAGGGACAAAACATGATTTGGCAGCCCCCCCCTCCCCCCATGCAAAAAAAATCTTCACTTGCCCTTTACACTCATACTTTTAACTTGTAATGTTAGATGACAACCCTTCCTACCATACTCTATTACTGGATCTGAAGGTTCACCATGATGTCATGAGTATCTGATGTCTGAAAGCTAATTGTTGGTTGAAAAAGTACCAGTAATGGCAGTACAGAGTGCAGAAAAAAATTGAGTCCATTGGAAAAGAATTCTGTAGTGAAAGGAGTTTTTCCCATGTGATTCACTTCACCTTGAAGATTGGTTTATTAAGTTCTGTTTTGACTGATGATTGAATATGCTGTGACTTAGTGGTGTTAATTATTTAGAGTTACAGAAACCAGGGTCTTACATCAACACTTTTGTTCATTGACCAAACACTCAAGTGAAGTGATATGGTATTTCTGGTGATATCCAAATATTTGATGTCAAGTATAACAAAGACATTATTAGTGACTCGTGGTCTTATGAAATGGTAAATTTTGAATTTAACTAGTTCAATTTGGCATCCCCCACTTCTGGCACCTGGGCACAAGTGGCACCCCCCACTCACTATGCCACTGATATCGACTTGATGCATTTATCAAGATGTCTATTGATTTTAAGATACTGTATATCTTTTTAAAATTCTCTGAAAAAAATATTAAGAGGTAATTTATTATATTAGATAATCTTTTATTTGAAACTTAAGAATTAAAAATGTAGGAAACTCACTCTTTCAAGACAAATTTTCTCCAGTTGGCTTTATGCTAGGTAATTTTCTGTGACAGAAAAACTCTTTTATACTTATTAAATTTTTAACTCAAAACTAGCCAAGTGTTAATTTTTGTAAGACCAAGTTATTCAAGTTTTCTCTTAAGAGGCCAGTTAGTTTTGTATGTTAGAAAATCTTTTTATTTAAATCTCAAATTCATTAACTAGTAGAGTATATGTTTTGTTTAAGAGAATGTTATTCAAGTATGGTGTGAGAGGCCCATACTGGCTGATATCCTGATGAATACTTTTGATACTCCGTAGGTCTGGTACTCAAGACTTCACCAAACTCAAGTAGGATTCACTAGATACTGTTGCACTAGTTTCATAACAAAGTTACTCTCAAGTTGATCCATACAATTGCTGAAGCTGACGAGAGTTTTTTCTAAACTAAGCTTTTTGAAATATATTGTAATTTGCAAAAGTGTATTTAATGACATTAGAGACTAATTGTCAATTTACTTTTTGTTCCTGCAGATGGTAGTGCATTTATATTTATTTTTATTTATTTATTTTTTGCTTGAGATAAAGTCACTCTCCTAAAGTTTAATTCTTTTAACCTAAGAGGTCTTGTGCCATTTATAGTCTTTCCCTCTATTATAATTTCTGCTTTGGATATTGGCAAGTTACAAAAATATTTTATGATATCTATGCCATTGTAGGAAGTCACATTTCTTATTAAGTATTTGTTGAAGACAGTTTGGCAATTTGTAAAGATCTTCTTGAAACAAAATACTAATATACTGTACTCAGAGAAGCAACTTATGGCACGTAAACAATAGGGAAGTTCACGTTTCTCAATAGATGGCAATAATGAAATTAAAGAGTGATTAGAGGGAGGGAGTAACACTGTGTGCTTCTCTGGCATCCTAATGAAGTGGTTCAATCTCTGGTGAACACTTCATGTGCATCACCTTTGGCCAATATGGAGACTGGGGGAGCATCATTGGTCAACTTTCAGTCTAACTCATTTTGCTGTATGTTTTGTGAAATGCATAGTCCATTGCTGTAATTTGAGACATCCATCCTTTTCATTGTCCCTACTTTAATTCAGACAATTACATTTACTACATGCAGTTAATGATCAGTGAATATTTCCCACAAGTATTCCCTAGATGGGAGACTGAACGTTGTATCTTGCTGGCAGAATTATGGCACCTTGGTTGTTTGACTTGTAGACAGTTTGTGAAGGAGCTTGCATGTGCACTCATTAGCTTTTACTTTATCCAGCTATGTTTTTTGTAAATCCCTCTTACAGTAGCCAGTGTACCTTACAAATACCATTTCAGTTTGTCTTGAATATTTTATTAATTGATTAATATTCTTTAAAAGGAAAACAAGTATGGAAGAATATTTCATCAAACTATATTTATAAACATCGACTTTGTATAAATATACTAAGATGAATTTGTCCCTTTTTTGTATTTTAACAGAGACCCAGCGTGCCCCTAATAAACGGCGGAAGCGGAAAGGTTCACAGTCGGGTCAAAATGCAACTGCAAACTCCACAGGCTCAAGCAAGAAAAGATCACCGGGCCCAAACTTCAGCCTCGCCACTCAAGTCTCCGTAAGTATCACTAGGCAGACTTACTTTGTGGTGTGATCAGCGATTTTGAGCCTTAGGTCTGATGTAAAGTAAGGTTCATTTTCCTGTGATATAAAGAGGAAAATAGTATTACTGACTATCAAATCTATGGCTCATGACCAGTGATACCACCACATTAGTCGATTCCCTCTGTTTCTTGTTAGTGGTCTTATCAGTAACTTGTTAGCCTATGTTATTGATACCTTCCGTGGATTGTAATGATCACTTCCTATGGCATTTTTTTGTTTGCATGCCATTCTGATAGTGGAACACTTTTCTCCCCAGTGACCAGGCTGATCATTTCCCATGAGGTGAAGCTGATCTCCTCTCTAGGTAGTATTGCCTCTCTGGTTGCTTAGTTAGTCTCTAGTCATAGGTTAAGCCAGATAAACCTTGGAACTGTCCCGGCAACCATCACATATGTGGCTAAATCATCACTATGAAGGAAGGCAAAATGGATTAATTTGGGTGCCAATCTATCGTGACTGTAGAGAGGCACATTACTTGTCAGCCATCTTTTGTCTGTTTTCATGTGATATCATTTCCCATAATCTTGGTTGTGCCCCGGAGGTGTCCAACTTTAAGTGGGTTATCCTACACTTAAGTATGCATACTGCAATTGTATTCTATTGTTTAAAGATAGTACCAATTTTTTTGTCTATGAGAGTAAAGTAGTAACTTCATATTTTTGAGCTGTACATTATGCATCATATATTTTTTGTTAATGACCAAAGTGTTTACATTTATGTATGAATATGTGAGAGGAGGTCACAGGGTTCAGTATTACTCCACTCATGTAGAATATCTGTATTCCTCTAAAGGTAAGAAACCTGAAATGTCTTTGATATAAAATATTGTGAGTAAATATTATTACATTCTCATAGAGAAAAAAAATGCATTTTTTTTAAGTAACTCCCATTTGAGCCCCACTTCCTCAAAAAAAAAATAATAATACAGTAATAATAAAAAATCAAAATCAAATGGTCCACGACAAAAGGTGTTTGGTAAATGGTATGCTTAGGTTCAGCTTCATAGATTTATTGTTGCATTTTGAAGGAGCATGTGAGCATTATGATCAACAAAATTTCTATATGCTGAATACTCAAAAAGCTGCAAGCATAGTCATAAATTACAACCATTTGTAATTTGTCATTACATGCAGTACAAGAAAGTCAGTAAATGGGAGTGAAATGTGTTGCAGTACAAAGGTAAATATAAGTGAGAGAAAACCACTGATATTTTTCTTACACAATCTCTCTTTCTTTCTTTCTCTCTCTTTCATGTTTTCACTTTTGCCTTGTATGTCTATTTTTCACTCTCTACCATCCCATTTTATCTTTTTCTTTCATACTCTGTTCTTAATACTACTAGATAAGAGAGAATTTAATCTTGTCAAGTAGCAGCTTTACTAACACATGCTTGAGGATGACCGACAGTAGTTTTGGCACACCATTTCTGTCAAAATGGTCATAGGTAGGAATATCACTGGCATTTGTTCTCCTAACCAATATCATAGAATTGAATTTAGCATAGTTTTCGATACAACAAATAACTTTAATTAAAATTTTTAGAAAAATAATGATATTGGTGTTGATAATTTTCTACTATTCAGCCATATTGATTTGGGGAGAATTTATCACACAATATCAGTGAAAGCTGTGTGGATTGCATCACACCTTTGAAAGGGCAGGTATATAAATACAATATAAAGGACATGGCAGATTAAAATATAATCATCTGGCCCAGTTTCTGAACTGAGCAGAAACTGGTACTGTATTGCTTAGTATCTCATATTACTTATCATTTTTTTCCTTATAATGGTCAAATAGTAATAACTGCACTATACTTCTTGTTGATAGAAAGTTATCAAATTCAACCCGGCAATGAAACTTGAATCCAATACAGTAAATTATTTAATATTCAAAAGGAATAAGAATAATGCATAAGTTTTATGCCCATTACTTAAAAGTTTTTACTACTTGTATAATAAGTACAGTACAGGTACAGTACTGTACTGAAAAACTGTAAGCTGAAGTAAAATATGCTGTTATTTATATGCAGTCATAACATAGGTAATTTGTATGAGAAGACATAGATTTTTAGCAGATGGGCACTGGTATAGCCTAGCTTTCTCTTGAAAAAGAAACCTAAGTGACATACCAAATTTGAGATACTTTAAAGATTTCTCAGTTTCCCTAAGACATTCTAAAAACCCATAGAGAATTTGCCATTTTCTTTTCCCACTTCCACCAGTTTGGATTCTCACATGGGAGGTCTGTGGTACAACTTGAATAGGAGTCGGGCCAGTTCCATTTCAATGTAAATTAGTTGGGGTTGTGAGCCCATCTTGGTGAAGAAAAGAGAAGTGGGGGAAGAGGCTTGGTAGTTAGTAAAGAAGGTAGTGTGATGAATAAAAGAAATAAATACCTGTACTATGAAGTAAAAAATGAGAATGATGATCAAGGTCCGATCAGAAAGTTGGCAAAAATCATTTTTAAAAAATGGGCTTTAGTTCTTTACATTGTTGATTATATTCTGGAAATCTAACTTGGGAATTTAAAAAATGACTCTTCAACATACAGGTATATGGGTTTTTCACATCCTCTCTGTCATTTTATTCCCAAATTTACGTAGGTAAAAAAAATATATATACGTATACGTATATATATTTTTTTCCAAATTGTTTAACTTCTTTATTGTGTGATAATTCTCAACACCTCAGACAAACCTCCGAGCACACTTGTCACTGGGTTCATTATAGATACTGTATGCATATACTGAATACAGTATTATGTACTGTATACTGTGTACAATATATGCCCAGTATGTGTAGTAGTGCTCAACTCCCAACTCATAGGACATAAAGTACATGGGCTGGCCGGATCACTTCCTTGGACTAAGTTCATCCTTCTGTTTAGGGGGAGGGTATAAAATCAGTTACCGGGTAGCCTAAGGGGGGAGGGGCGACTTGCTGTCTTTTTGTCATTAATTATTCTGCAATAAGATTATAAGAACATATGTTATTATACTCATCTTATTGCAGACTTAGTGTAATTGGTAGATTTTTTAAGACACGTAGCTCTTGCTTTCACAAGGGGTGTCTTGGTTTTTTTCCCAATAATTTTGTTATTAAAAATGACCGAGAATTTTACACATAGCTGATTGTATTTTTACACTACACTACACTACAGTACTGTATTGTCATTTAGCAGTTATTGGGACTTGGAAGTGACTTTATGGGGGAATACATTTTTTTCTGTAGCATCTATTGATGACAAAGTAAAGAAGGTGCCATAATTAATTATTTTGCACTAAAGTAGTTAGTTTTCACATATTATAAATTAATTACATTCAGGGTCTATGAAATTGATAGAAAGGAAGGAAATTTGAAAGAGAACTAGGTACTGTAATACAATGATAAACCTAAGTTTGGGTCTCTAGTGATTATGTAATAGCTATCTTAATTATACATTTGTTTTTGCATATAAATAATATTATTTATTTTTTTTTGGGAGGGGGGGGGCAACTAAAAAATATCAGGTTCTATAGTTTGAAGATATGAAGAATTTAATATTTTTACAAAGATGTCAATGCTTTATATCGACAAGCTTACCGTATATGTAATGGTTACCTCAGAGGGAAGGGCCATAACAGAAGAGCCTTTAGGGTATCCTTTCACTACATATTTCTTTTACCCTCTCCTTAAGTCCCTCACCCCCTCTCCCATTTTTTTCCTTTATGTACTGTGCTCCACAAAACCTTATCACAATAAACTCGTTCTCTTGCTATGTGACACACCTGCTACATTACTTATTAGCTGTGTTACCTTCTGGCATCCTTGTCACATCTCCATGTCATCTTAGATACCTCTGTCTCTACACAATATAGCAGTTTCACATCTAATTAAAGTGGAAAGAAAGATGTCATCATTAAGGTACCGTAATACTCTATATCTATTGTAAATTAGGGACGACTTCCTCTATTTCTTTCACAGGAACACTACACAAGCATGTTCACAGTACACTTAATTGCATCATTCACTTCATTCTGTAATTAGAACACAAGCAAATACAGTATTGTACAGCTGTAACTGCTTATGATATTCTTAGAATTTCCTCAGTAAGTTAACTGTAATGAGGTTTGGTTTGGTTAGGATTGGTTAAATTATGTCTAGTTTAATTTAGGTTTGGTTTGTTTACTTAGGTTAAGTTTAGATAGGTTAGCTTTGGTTAGTTTAGGTTAGGTTAGTTAGGTTAGGGTAAGTTAGGAGGAAGAAGCATGTCAAATCTTCCTCAGACCAGTACTAACACTCTTCAGTACTTCTTGTGTCAGAAACCCAAAACCAGTGTTGTGAGCATTTATTAAACATTTCATTATTACTTCTATTCTGCAAGATGAAAAGTGTGGGGTAAATGACCACATATTTTAGTTTTTTCATCATTATGGATTTGCTTCAAGTAATAATCATCATGAATTTGCTCCTTGACACATACAATACTGAATTTCCAAATAAAATCACTAACTCATCTAAAACAAAATTAAGACTTAATGACCATCCTTGTCTATTTGATTTATTCCTAATTACTGTATCTGTTTATGGCTATGTGCAAATAGATTTTCATTCAAAGGATGTTCAGTACCTTTGTAGGAATAAAGTAAAATCAGTCTTTGTTGAGTTAGCAGCAACTACTGTATTACACTATTAAAACCTGGGAGTATTAGTTATCCTATAATTCAATAATGTGGTTACAGAATCCCATGATGGTTGTTTATTGGGTCCCTTGAGAAAATTACTCTTCCAAAACATTGATATGTACTCAGTCACTTTCTGCTTTAAGTGTATTCCTCACCAGGTGCACAGCACTTGCCAGTGAGAGTCACAGCAGATGTGGTGAAGAATACAGTTGTGTGTAGAATATAATGGAGTACATTATCCATGCTTTGGATGTGTAACTTACTCATGAGATCTCATAACACAAGCA